GATATATATATTAGATGTACAACAGTTATCTGAGTAAATATAAACACAAAATGGGTAACTTTAGCATGAAAACATTTCTGTGCCTATTTGTTTTGTTTTTGTGGTGTTAATTACTCAGTTATTTGAATAATTGCAGGTAGTTGTAATGTGCTGGGCTCTTTTTTCTCGTCATTCCCGGTTACTGGAAGTTTCTCAAGGTAAGATATCTTACGTACCATATACCATGGTACTGGTACTGGTATAGGTATTTATAATACGCCTCTTCCTTGATGTAATAAAGCGCAGTTCTTTTCCCTGGTCATTGGGTCCACATGCTAAGTGTTGCTGCTGGTAATCAGTGCAGGAGCAGGCAACCCCACCAGGTACCCATTTATACTCCTGATAGAAGCAATGCAGATAAAGTGCCTTGCTCGAGGGCACAACCGAAATGCACAGCGAGGGATTAAAACCCCAACCTCAAGGTTGGGAAACCAAACCATTCCTGCTGTGCCAATCCGCTGTATTTGTGTACAGGCTGCTGAATCACAGGCTGGCCATTGTAGGATACAAACGTAAGACTTAATAAGAATAATAGAGTTCTAACTCCAAACATTCAATGTTCTAAATATGCAGATCCAGCCAATCAAAGTATGCCTAAGCATAATTTTCAGTGACACTCTCAATTTAACATGAAAGTTTTGCGTACAGCCACTTGACCTTTTTTTTGGCTAGGCTAGATTAATAATTTATTAATATTATTAATAATAATGATTAATGGGATAATAGCCATCTTATTTATGGTAGTAATATGTCTAAATGTGAAGGTGGCGCTTTCCTACGGTAGCCATCTTGTATGGTACACATACACAACTCTGCATTGCTTTGTCGCGTATTTAACACTCTGGTTGTTATAATAGCTCTATGGATACAACCAATATTTACCCAATATGTCAGTGAAACACGTAGGTGTTAAATTAAAATGTAAATGTATATGTACACGTAGTCAAACTCATAATAATCTTATTGTACCACAATGGAATAACCCTCAAGGCAAGAGAACTTTTTTTGTATCGTTCAGCAAAGTTGTGGAATGATCCACATGACACAACAACTAATTTCATGGACATGACTATTTTATCTTTTAAAAACTCTTAATTCTTACTTATTTGTATTATTATATATTTAGGAATGTTTGTGTTACTTGCATTGATTTTCAATATTTGTTTTATATGCAACTGTAACAGTTTTATAAAAAAACAGTACACAAGTACTGAAAGTGTATGCAGTAAAAAGACAGAATAAATAAATAAAAATAGATAAACTGGTTCTGATAAAATTATACTAATTTTTTTTTTGTTCTTTTGTACTGAAGGACATCTATCAACTCTCAATCTGGAGTGAAAACGCAGGCAGGTAACTTGGTTACCGGAACCTTGGTGATCCTGTCGTTACTATTTGTCACGCCCGCTTTCGAGTACATTCCCAAGTCGGCTCTGGCGGCCGTAATCATTAGTGCTGTTTATGACATGATGAATTTTCGTATTGTCCTGCACTTGTGGAAGCTTAACAGTAAGAAAATTTCTTTACATTATATTCATACTAGAGGCAAGTCAATTGGCCATCGATTAATGCAGGGCTCCGCAACTGTGATATTGGCGTTTGTTTTAGTGGTAGACTCCCCCATTGTTTTATTGGTAGTTGAACTGGTGTTCTCTGGTAAGGACTATAAACATTAGACGCAAGCTTGGTTTCCATGCAATCGCTACATGCTATCGCCAACAGCGACGCTGATTATCTGGTCCGGACAACTTCTTTTGTGCTAGGGAAAATTTACGGAAAGGCCGAGCCGGCCCCAGCCCTCCCTTTTGGAAAGTAAAAAAGAAAAAAAGAAAGAAAGAAAAAGATATTATTGATCACCCAAAACGCCTCATAGGTTATTTCCGGGCGTCTAAAAAACAAAAATTTCCCAAGGGTAGTGTTGTCTCTCATTCAGGCCCCCCTCCCTTTTTGGACATCTCTGGATCCGCCCTTGTGGTAGATGACCAAATGAGCTGGTACCAGGTAGCACAGACACAACCTCATTGATGTCTATACTGATAACTATATTATTTGCTATGATATTGTAGAATAGACACGGCAATAATTTTTGTAATTCACTATGACATAGTGGCAGAGGTTGCTTGGTATGTGAGTTGGCATGCCCCATCACTATGAAAATGCCAGTCGATTGGTAATGGTTTCAGAATTGGTAATTTTTGGTGACCACCTTGCGCACTATTGCAGGGGATATGTGTGCTTAATAAGTCTTATTATTTTATTGTTAATTGCATAGTCAGTATTAGCAAAGCAGAAATTTTTCAACACAATTATACCATAACTCTTCGAATATTAAGCACCCCAGCGCTTATAAAATTTTTGGAGGCTTCAGTGCAGCGCTTATTCGAGAGCGGGGCTTATTAAAAAAAAATTGGCATGGCGCTTTCCATGCCCGTTCCCATGTTACCTGTCTTACCTATCATCATCGCCCGATCATCGTATATAAACGTTTATAAAGATATGCTTGTGTCCTCATTGTGTTATTTATTCATTTAAACACTGTATACATTGAATTGAAAAACCTAAAAATGTTTCTTACACAAGAGTAATGTACTCTTGATTCAAAATAGAATAATCTTGAATAAGCACCATTGCGCTTATTTGAGAGCGGTGCTTAGCGAAAAAAAATCATGTTTGCTGCAGAACTTATTTGAGAATAGCGCTCATTCGGGAGCGGCAGTTATTCAAGGATTTCCGGTAATTGCAAGCATCTCATTGCTGACTTAACATCTAGCTTTATATTTTCAATGCATCCCATCATTCTGACAGACTCAATTCCATTTTCTTTAGCAAGCCTCAAATGTACAAGTGCAACTGTTCTTACCTTAATCATTTCTCTTTCAAATAGCAGACTGAGATCAAATTATTGTATAGAAACTACCATGATTCATTCTTCTTTAATTCTCTTTAAAATGTCACGAAACACCAGTCGTTGCTGGACCGGTATATCTTCCTCTTAAAAATGATTCCATATAAAGGTTGTTGCATAAGCCTGTTAAATTTAATCCAAAGATTCACTCTTTATAGTCACATCTCAGGGTAAATCCTACAAGATCAGAAGTAACATCACAGGGCAAGAACTCTATGTAATATATCGGATATCTTGTTCCAGATTTAGTATGCAATATGTTACTGAATCTGGTTAATTGTTAACTCCTTTTTGGTTTTACTACCTGCAGATCGACCATCCAAGACCAAAAATATCCACATGTCCATACCAGCACAACTTACCCTTTGGATTCATTCTTTTTCATTATTGATTCAACTTTTTCATCTGTTCACATTTTTGTAAATACCATGCATTTGTAAGGCTGCGATTTTGGTGTATTTTTTGAATGAAGAATAAAGATTAATTTTAGCATTCTTCGAAATATACCAAAGCATGAAAAATCCACTATCAGTTTTTTTTTTTGTTTTTTTTTGTTTTTGTTTTTTTGGTTTTTTTTTGCTGTTTTATATTTGTTACTATAATCCTATGGTACAGAGCAGGCAACATATATCAAAATTGAACTTTATTTTTATAAAAATTCTTCCATCTTTTACTAATACTATAGTTTTTCTGAATGTGGTAGCAGTTGTAGTTGTATAAGTGGGCACCTGGTTGAAATGTACTGGGTAGGTTTAAAAGGCAGCATTCGCAATGTTGAGACTTTGTACGATAAGCTTTTCACAGCACATTCCCTTAAATTCAGTAATAGGGAGTTTTTGCAACCTTCAAAAACGATAACGAATACAAATACGTCATCTTCATTATCGTCATTTCTGCCTAAAACATTCTTGACAATACATTTTGTATACGAACTGAATATGTGGCAAAGACAAGCCAAACCAGTCACTCGTCGCAAAACGTGTTTCAGAGAAAATGGCCAAAACATGCTGGAATGTCAAATTTAAAAAAATCTATTTTATTGCACTAAACTAATCTTTACATATCTATACATCATTCTATGCTGTTATTTTCCCCATTTACAATGTTAAAACAACACTTTTTAAGGATTTGATGATAGTTTCTGCATGAGAAATGCCTGAAATCATAAGGCTGATTTCTCATATATTGTTCTTTAAACAGCTGTATGTTTAAACGCTTGTAACTTCATAAGAAAATGTCCAATTTGAATGATTTTTTACCATTTTATAGCTATTATTTTACTCTCTAACACTGTATTAATAACTCGAAATCGATTTTTGCGACGAGTGACTGGTTTGGCTTGTCTTTGCCACATATGATCTTTCATTCATGTAGAAGGCATGGATGGCCTATGTTGTGTCAGATATGCTACTGTAGGGGATGAATTAACTAAACATTTGATGACGCAGCCGTATTGGTTTCCCTTTTCGTATGCTTGCAAAACCTCCCTAATGATTATACAGGACAACCTTTAATCCAAAACTAATGCTTCTGATTACTGTAGTTATTCTTTTGAGTAATTCTTTACCGATATTACTGATTGATTCTTCAAAATGCAGAGTTGGACTTGTTACCACTGGCTGGGACGTTCATCAGTGCCTTATTTCTGAGTGTAGCATACGGAACTCTTATTGGTATTACCATCGACCTTATAATCCTGTTGTACCCGAATGCACGACCGCAAATTAAGGTAGAAAACCTGTGCATTCCGCCAAACCCTGCCGGTCATGGTAACGCTAGCAGGGGTCAGCGTGGAAATTACGGAACTGATTTGTCTGTTTCGGGTGGATATAATTCGGTTCCTGATGATGCTAGGGAGTCATCTCCTCTTTTGGGCAATAGGAAGGTAGGGTTATAATGCATGTTGGTATGTAATATCAGTTAGTGCTTGCATGTGATAAGCATGAATAGCGCATGTGAAGAGTTTAAATACTGTAGTGCATGTGATTAGCATAAATAAAGCATGTGATCAGTGGCATAATGCATGCGCTCTCATTCTAGGGTCCCGGAAGGGACCCTATCCATAGGTTCCTCGATCTAGCACCCTGACCAAAAAGGATTTTGATGATAAGTTAAACACCATAATGTGTCTCTGAAATCGACTGTAGGGCATATATCATATTATAACGATTAAAAAAGAGAGGGGGCTCCTCCAAATTTGTAAAAAAAAAAAAAGAAATTAAAAATGGAGATAAAAAGAAAATTATTTTCACAATTTTAAGTCTGTGAGTGCCATTTCCAGCCATCTAGACGTGCCATAATAATACATTTTCTTATTTCAGCCCCACAAGGGCAACAGCATAATGTGTGTCTGAAATCGACTGAAGGACATATCATATTATATCCAGTGGCGGAATAAAGAGTGATGTGGCGCTGCTGGCCCGGGGCCCCACTAAATTTGTCAAAATTTTTTTTAACTGGAGATAGAAAGAAAATTATATTAACAATTTCATGTCTGTGAAGTGCCATTTCCAGCCATCTAAAGGTGCCATATTCATAAATTTTCTTACTTCAGCCCCAACCATGGTGGGTTTGAGGTGGTATAGACTCACCTGAGAAAGTCCCTCCCTAGCCTCAATTTTCTGGATCGATATTATATTATTTATTCGTCGTTAAAAACATTTAGAATAACAATGCACATCTAAAATCCCACGATGAAATTGGTGACTGGGATCCAAAAAGGGCCCCCAATTTCAGAAATACACAGGGTCCCTGCCCCCATCGTTACGCCACTGCATGTGATTATTATAAATAGTGCATGTGATAAGCATGAATAGTGCATGTGATTAGTATAATAGTGCATGTGATTAGCATGAATAGTGCATGTGATTAGTATAAATAGTGCATGTGATTAGCATGAATAGTGCATGTGATTAGTATAAATAGTGCATGTGATTAGCATGAATAGTGCATGAAAGTTTAGCCAAGGAAAGAGTGCCCTCTATTGTAATTTACTTTCTGCCAAAATAACATAACATCTTCAGGTAATTTGAATATAACCCTGGATGATGCATGTAATTTATAGTCGTACGATCAGGGGGCTTTACTGTAAAAGTGCATAAGATTGAATTGTAAAGTGCTTTATGTACATGCACTATGCAAAATTACAACATTTAATGTGCTTCAGATCATTATTCTAATGCTGATGTGGGATAATGTTGTTAAATGCATGTGATGTCTTTCATGTTTGCTTTGTGACAAGATATGTTGTATATGTCATAAATGTTTATGGGAATGTTATAATTTTTTATTATCATGTTACTGGCCCATCTGGTATTTGTATGTGATAATTAGTTCTAAGCATGCGATACATTTGAAAAATGGGTTTTATCTTGTTTTTGGGGCCTGTGGTGAAGAATGGTTTGTGCATTATAATACTCTCCACACAATTCATTTAATGCGACAAATATCTAAGAATTGTCCAAATATGGGTATGGTATGCCATCATCATGCCCATATTTATAATTATCATAGAAACTTAATTGTTATTAATATCATTATTAATTGTAATTATGTGGGAGTGTTCATCATGGCATTGAGGTGTAGGGGTTTGAATCACACATGGTCATTTCTTGGTTGTTCCCTTTATGTTTGTCTCATTCCACCTTTAAATATAATTAATAATACCACCATCATTATAATTATTATTATACAAATTGCACATTTAAAGTAATTTTATATTTGTGGGTTACATTAAGATAATTTACAGGTATTGGACTGTCTATTTTATATTACAAGTTGATTATTCTATATGTTGAGTATTACCTTAATCTGTAGGAGATAGCATTTTTAATGTTACTTAGCTGGAGGGCAAAAATCACTCAATTGTTAGAAGTGTGCTACACTAGGACAGCCTACACAATAGGCTTAGGACTGTTGCTTTAACATTAGAAGTGGACTACATATTTATACAACTCACTCCATATATTCCAAAATGTTGTGAATAAAGAGAAATTGAATGCATGTTAGACATAGCTACTCATTAAAATGATATATAGTATCGATTGGTTGTGCAGGTCATTATGAGGTATATGACAAGTCAATTGAGTCCTTATCTCCGAAAATAGACAGCTTATTAGTTGAATTAATTGACAATGTTTTGCAAATGATAAAGTCTTGACAAATATAATATATATTTTGAGGGTATGAAGTCATTGTGAGGTCACTCATAAATCACTAGTTCAAACTATATTTCCCTCAATTTGAAATGACAGAAGGAATTACAGTATAGTGTGGAATTATTTCAATTCCTTACAATATTATTAGTATTTGAAGTGAATATGTAGAACAAGTGAATAAAGACTAGATGTAAAATTAAAGTTTAAGTATCATAATAGTAAAGTTGATACTGATATAATCATTATGCAAAATGATTTTCCACTGGAATATTTTATAGTAGTATCGTAGAATATAGCATATAATGAAATACTACTGATTTAGTAATTGTGTGATTAATTTGATCGATTGATGGATTTATGGAATGAGTGATTAATTGATGAAATGAGTGGTTGATTGATTGTATGAAACAATGATTGATTAATGGAAGTATTGATTGATTGATGGATTGACTGATTGATTGATAGTGATTTGTCTCCATTATTATTATGAGATTATTGATTGAATCTTTATTTTACCATTTTGTGATAATAGTAATTTGTCTCATAAGACAGTATACAATAGAATATAAATACATGTTTGTATACAGTATTTTTGTACTGGGAAGTCAAACCTAAATACACTTCAGAACCTAATGCCTTAATGTTTTTTAATTGCAAATCCCCGATGTTCTTATTTTTCAGGTGGAACTGGGAACGATCACTGTTATTCACCTGCTACAAGGCCTCTTCTACCCATCTGCAGAGTTTATCCAAGAAAAACTCTCGACAGAGCTTGTGATGAACAAAAAAGTTGAGGCAGCCATCGTAGATTTCAGTCGGATAACAAACTTGGACTTTTCTATAATTATTGTAAGTGCTGAATGCACAAAGTGTAAACTTAAAAAGTTTTTTGTTGTTTGTTATTTGCTTCCTTTACTAATCTACAATTTATAAAAACTAACTTGTTACTAAACTTGCTTTTAGTATATTCATGTCATAAATGTAAATGCATACTTTTGATCATCTACCAATAATAATTGTTTTCATTTTGTTTAGGCACTAAAAGACTTTGTTGCCGAATTTCAGAAGAGTCGTAGCACTGTGAAAATTTCCATTGCAAATGGTGCCCCCGAAGAACCTTTATTAAGTGGGCCAGAGCAAGTGATAGTTGTCTTTATTAGAATGAATGTAAGTTTTGGAAACTTCTTCTGTTTACGATATATACTAGTGAAGTATGGATAAGTGGGTGTAGAAATGATTAAATGATGTATGATGGGTATGAGTGGATGGTTATTGGTTGATGGATCAGACAGTCGATGGATAATAGATATCAAAGAGAATATTCCGCAAGAGATCCGACTGTCGGGGTTTCGTTGGAATGCAATCCATCTCAAGAAGTACTACCACGAGTGCGTCCTTCAAAAAAGCGTATGCTGCGTCTATTAGAATTCTAATAGGGCGCCCTTATCTTGTGGTAGCATTTTTTTTAACGATGTGCCTATATATGGTCATTATCTGATGTCATTATCACCATATAATGACATGTCATATGTTTTGTCAAGTAAAATTTGATAGTCTAGAGAGGTCTTTGCAAAATTCAGTCAAACAGGCTATTCAAGGCTATGGTATGAGATGTATTGATATTTTACATGACTTTTTAATGCTAATTTTAATTTATGTTCTCATTGGCATTGGAGAGGCTCTAGAAAGTGATTCAGTTCACTACTTGAACAATCCTGTCCGGCAAATTGAGTTTTTTTGCTCTCTGTTATTTTGCGTTTGTTGAATTTGTAATTTGCACAATGCAGTTTCATTGAAACGTTGCAAACACATAGTACTTAAAAATAATTTTGTTAAATATTTGATTCGGCTGTCATTGTGGAAGTAGTTTTTGGGACAGCGGGAACGGTTTGGTTTCCAAACCTCGTGGTCAGTGTTTCAATTTTTTTGCTGTGCATTTCATTTGTGTCCTTGGGCAAGGCACCTTATCTGCATTGCTTCTCTCCACCCAGGAGTACAAGTGGGTACTAGTGGGTGGGTGGCTAATACCAAATTTAAAAATAATATATTTTCTATATTCTTGGCATAGACCCTTAAATTTTGAGCAACACTGTAATTTAGAGTAAATTGAATTGTGTAAATCTCTGTTTATTCGGAATAGACATATTGTGCTAGGTTGGTCATGTGACGTATAGTGGGTATCAGGCAGTGCGAGTGACGTGACGCTCGGTAATATAAGAAAATGTGTGGCAATCAATCCACTTTCAAAGCTAACATCAAAACATTATTTTTTAAGAAAACATAATAACTTTCAGTCTAAAGCGCATTGGATTTTTAAAATTGTTTTATTATTATTATTATTATTATTATTATCATTATTATTATACCAAATTGATAATAATGGTTTTCTAATTCTTCAAAAGACGCTTGTCCCAAAAATTGAGATTTTTTGAGAAATGCCTCTAGAGTCCTAGGCCCCTGCATATCTACGGAGTGTTTAGGTATGCACAAGAGTCTTTGACCTGCGAACTGCGATTTTGAAATGCTATGATTTCTAGGCTAGCTAAGGTTTACGAAAGCAAACAAAGCGCACAGAACGCTAAAATAAGTAAGTAAACACTATTTTGAACAATCGTAGTCCATTCGCTAGTTATTTCTCATATTAATGGTGGGCGGTTGTTTTCCTATAGTTTAACACTGATCGGTCTGTAAATTCTCTATAGTCATACCCACTATATAAAAAGATAATAAATAGAAGAAGATAGAGCAGATTCGCGATATAGTGGAACGTGCCTTGAATTGCATTGTGGGAGGATGGAGAGCTATTGTATCCCGTCCATGCAGCGGCGCTGTATCTAATAATAAAGGCACAGCTCGGGTTCGCTTGTTTCCTGTAGTTTCTCCAATCTGTCAAATGGTACAAATTTACCCCACTCACGGGAGGGTGGACTTCCATCAACTTTACAAATACGTGAAGAACTCATTCTTTGCTATTTATGTTCTTTGCTATATATCATATCACCAGCTGTAAACTAACCTCGCGGAATGTGTCTATTTTTGTAACTTATTTTAAAGGAGCAATTTATAGTTTCAATTTAATTTTGAGAAGATTTTCTTAGAATATTTTAATTCCGTATTGATAAATGTGTTTATAATAGTCAGCTGGGTAGCTTGTTGGATATTAGAGTGATGTGCTTTCCTATCTTACCCCCTCTTTTTAAACCCCTGTTTTTAGGGGGTATTTTATAACATTTTTTTTTTGGACATTTTTCTTATTACATAATTTTTTCTTGTTTATTAAGTTGTTTATACTTTGTTTAAAATGTATTTGATTGTCATTACACACTCTTAATATTTTATTACATACTGTAAATACACTTTAATGCAATTCTCGGTTGTTGAATAGAAATTGCAGAAAACATCCTCTTTTTGGAGGTTTTTAATAAAATTATTTTTGGAATATTTTTTTTTATTAAGTAGTTTATTTTACTTTGTTTATCCCTCATTATTTCATTACGTAAATGCATTTTAATGCGACTCTCTGTTGTATCCAAACAAGATAATTTTAGAATAGAAATTGTGGAAAACATCCAGTTGTTACACTCCTATTAACAAATGGGCCATTAAAGTTGTTGATATAGTGTATTAAAGTTCAGAACCCTGAAACAGCTAATGTAGAAATGTTATGTCTTTTACAGGAGACTATAGAGCGTCAGTTGAAACAGGCAGAATTTGGCGATGCTGTCGCCTTCTGTAAAGATATGAACACCGCCCTCAGTAGTCTGTCTGACAGCTGTAAGTATAAATCCAGTATTATCATCACATTTTGATCTGTCAGACATTCTGATGACATAGAACATTGTCTGACCTTCAAAAAAGCATGGAATAAAACACAATGGGCCTATATTTGATTAGATGCTGTATGTCTGAAACAAATATAACACACAGTGGCAGAGCTAGCAGTAGAGCAAGGGGCTGGCCTAATTCCGTTCCCCTTCCCTATCGGACCATAAAACGGGAAAAAAAGTTTTCTTAATTATTTCTGTCAACAGCTCTGCACTTCCTGAGGACAAGGGCTCTGATTGGCCCTGGCATCTGTCTGGAGTGAGACAGACAAAAACTGAGTGATACTGTAGTTTAAACCAAGCTAAACACTTGATATCTCACTTGATCCATTTAATCATACGCCTAATAGCCACTGGTATACATACACTCATGTTAATTCATTTATCATTCATTTATCCATCTGTCTGTGGGTCATCTTACTAGGTTTACAATTTTAACTAATACTATATGTGTATTACATATTTGATAATTGGAATAAAATATTTTTTCTGTGAAATAAATAACATCAAAATGCTGTTTGGTAAACCCATAAAAATAGAAAGATAATAATCTAGCACTTACGTTGTATCATCTATCTAGTTATCTTATCCATTTTTATGTATTAAAAACCTGGTATCACCTCTTCTATTATTTCAAATTGTCTAGCCACCATTATACTGTAGTTTAGTACATTCACTCTCAGATAGTGAGACAACCTACTGTAGATAAGGCCAAAAAAGGGTGTGTTGCTTATAGCCAACTGAAGCTTTGAAAATCTAAAAAAACACTAATGTTGCTTCTTTTCTTTTTTAAGAAATGTATTTTATTTTTTAACTAACAGAGTCAAAATCAATTGTACAATATTTCAAAATCATGGGTTAAAATTGGCTAGGAACATTAGAATTTGGCCTATTTTTGGCCAATCAATTTTCATGTCCAAAAGTCAGAGTGCTTGGGCATTGCAACAAAGCTGGTCTTAAAGTGTGTTGCAAGAATCATAACACATACATCACTCTCTCAGTGCATTTATTCAAAGGATTTAATTTCAAATACAGGGTTTTTTTTCCAGCTTTTTTGTAAGTACAGTTAAACTTGTCGAATTTGCCTAACTCGAATAATTTGCAAGTTGATCTTATTTTACATGATAGGTGGTTGTGTTTTCCATTAATTGATCTGTAAGTCAAATTTTATCTAATGCTGGTCGTCGGCCAATGAAATATGGAGATCATAACACTTACGACGACACACGCGCAACAGATCGTTTTTTAATGACAATTCGTTCACACTGCCACCGCTAATCAGCATACGGTGTCGTGAATTTAACGCTCGCAAGGAGCGGGGTTTGATTCGCCTGCAGATGGGGTACGAAGCAGTGAATGCCCGGCTTAAGACAAACAATTTTTCAGTTCCATTTTAGGTTCAACTGTACATCCATTGCATTTCAGTGCCTTGCACCCTAAGTAAAATACAGTTTATAAATTCCGATATTATTAATTTTATCCTACATTCAAATCATAATAACAATAGCTTTTGATTTGCCTTTGCCTAGACTTTCTAGCTATTCATTTTAACTAGTGGTTATGTAGTAACAAACAAAATAGAAATACTGTATGACCAAATAAGACTAGACCTTATGACCATTTTGATTAAAATCTGGAGTCTTCTCCACTGTACCTAGTGGCTTAACGACGAGTGACAGGACCCAGGGGCGAGGGAGTTTGGGCGCCCATGCATTTTAGGACTTGATTACGAGGGCCCCCTTCACAGTGGAATATCAAAAAATATTGTTTCATTTGTGTTATATTGCAAAAATTTATTTCAAATTCCCTGTGGATTCTAGTACTTCATTATTTTGAAGTATTTAAATGACTCTAGAAAATTTTGGGTCAAGAATTGACATTGTATAAAAGAAGTGTTGTCCACTTTAAAGACATGCGTGAGTTTAAAATGTGGTATTACATTGTTTTAGTTTGCTAGTTTTGATTGTCTCTTCTACTGGACCATAATATCAAGGCTATGTTAGAGTGTTGTGTATATAGTAGGAGGGCCCTCCGGAGCCCCTTTTGACTAGGGGCCCGGAGCTCCACCACCCGAGTGCCCAAAGGTGTTTACACCACTGACTGTACGACATTGATACATATATGTTATTACTATATAATGGATATTATTAACTAATGACAGGAAATAGAAGTTCCTGATATATTCACGAACAAATGAAACCTCACGTAATGGCCTACATGATTGCATTTATGGTCCCTAGAGGGCGCCAACTCCAAATGTCAGTTAATGCCGTTTTGAACGAATTTGGCATGTTTGCTCAGCAGTGTCATTAAATTTTGTCTGCAGTCATTAATTAATACAAAACTTTAAAATTGTGGCAATGTTTACGTACATGTATTCCTCATTCAGTGAGGCACAATATGAACCATTACCTTTGCATGCTCTAATTTTTTCCCCGATAAATTATAAAGTTGATGGTTGATATTGTGCTTCACTGAATGTGGAATGCATATATGTAAAGACAAAATTTTATTTATACCTTGTTTAGCGAACCTGCCGCCCGAATTAAATTAGATGCTTTTTTTTTTACCCTCAAGCATATAAGAAAATAATGGAATCACCCCACGTATTCAGGCAGTAGTCAAGAAAACAATGTGCCTGAATACGGCAGGTGATTCTATTATATTTTTGAGGGTATTCTGCAGCATTCTAGAAAATAATGTCTGAATACGACTGGCAATTCAATTATTTCATTGAGGGTATGCTGCAGTTTCAGGGTGGAGGTATGCACTCTATAGTGTGACTACTCTAGGTTTGTTTCTGTTTCTTTCTTTTTTTCTTTTTTTTTTTGTAGTTACAAATGATTTTGATAATTTTGTTCTTGTGTTCTTGGAAATCAATAAATGCAAAGAAACAAACAAACTTGACATAATATACATAGCTAATACTAAAAGCCCATCATTATCCACAGCAATCACATAGATAGCAACAGGAATCATTCTTGTCTTGAAAACGGAGTCAATTAAAGTCACTTTCCAGCTTTGTAATTTAAAACCTAAAACAGAAGACCTATGTGCTTAATCTGGAGAAGAAACCCATCTCAAACAGAGGCCTTCATTGAAAAGAAGCCTATCCAATGGTCCTAATATTCAAGATTTTACAGTATGTTATCGGTAAAAGCATATTTTTAAAATATTTTTTTCATATTTAGATGTCATGTCCTCTACAAAATGGCAAAATGCAGTGATATTTCTCACGGTTTAACATAATTTTTTTTTTCTAATATAATGTCTACATATCGTTAAATTATTGTTAAATGTCAATTTTTATGATTTATATGAACGAGTTCAGCGATGTACAACTAAAGTAATACTAACAACAACAATAATAATATCTCGGTGTAATATAGAGTATAATGCCAAGGACTCGACGTTCATCATGCTATTACGGAGTCATTAAATAAACACCTATGAAACACACATTTGTCTCCCTGGGGGGAAGTGTACCATAATGTTTCTGCTAGTAAATCAGAGCATTGGCCTTCAAGTCTACCATGGGTATCTACGTTAGGCCTGTGTGGTGGGAAACCAACGGTGTATAAAGTGCATTTGCCAAGGACACAAATAATCGCCATTCGTCCAGCTTCAGGCAATTGCGATTGGAAGGTCACTTACCCCTGCGACTCGTTAAATGTATTAATTTTTTTATTATAGCATAAAGCATAGTCCTATGTTGGTATATATATTTTTTTTTATAGCATAAATAGACCAATGTTGGTGTAGTAATTTTTTTTATCTATTTTTTATTCATTCAAAAGCCAACAGCGATGAACACCGCCACTAACAGGTTTTATAAACAATAAAATATAAATATATATCATATCTACAATAAACATAAAAGCAAAACATACAAATATAATAGCATAAAGAGTAGTCCATATTGGTTCTGTATTATAATTTTGTCTATTATTATTTGTAATCTGTAGTGATAATAATAATAATAATTATAATAATAATAATAATAATAATTATCGAAAGGTCCACTGATTAATCTCAGATAAGATAGCATAATACATACTCCAAGTATCGAAATGCACACCATCGTGTCGGGATTCAATATTTTGACATTAATTATGTCATCATCAGGAATGAAAAATTATCCATATTTGCAAGCTTATATGCACAAGTACCATAAGTGTTCGATCAATCAAAACATTATTAATAATAATATTAATAATAATATTCAATGAATAATAATAATAATAATATTAATAATAATAATAATAATATTAATAATAATAATAATATTAATAATAATAATAATTAATATTAATAATAATAATTAATATTAATAATAATAATAATAATAATATTATTAATAATAATAATATTAATTAATATTAATAATAATAATATTAATAATAATAATAATAATAATAATATTAATAATAATAATAATAACATTCAATTAATAATATTAATAATAATATTCAATGAATAATAATAATAATAATATTCAATGAATAATAATAATAATATTAATAATAATAATAATGATAATAATCATAATAATAATAATAATAATATAATATTCATATTTATAGGGAGCTTTTGATTGCACGACAACGGTAGGACGTATAACGTAATGACGTCACTAAAAGTCATCTGCGCATGCGAGAACGTTAAGGTCACCTCGTCAAGTAGATTCTGGAATGCAATTTGGCAAAATCTACGTATGCAGAAAACATAGGACGCCAGGACAGTCGCGCATGAGTGATTCCGTTCTAGCGTCGCGTTGTCACACAAATCGAAAGCTCCCTAATAGCTAATAAGGTGCAGATTTTTTAATATTAGAAAACTGGGGAAAGGGCGTGTCATCCCTGGAAAGGGCATGTCATCCCTTTCCCTTTCCGATAGCCATTTCCAATAATAATTCAAGCACCCTTTCAATGTCATATAATATTTGTTTGTACTAAACATATCAAAAAGTTTCCAGTGGAATTCAGTGATTTAATAATGAGAATTTTTGATGTAGAAAATATTAATAGTAATAATAACAAACAATAATAATAATAATAATAATAATAATAATAATAATAATAATAAAATTCAATTAATAATAATATTAATAATAATATTCAATGAATAATAATAATAATATTCAATGAATAATAATAATAATATTAATAATAATAATATTAATAATAATAATGATAATAATAATAATAATAATAATAATAATAATAATAATAATAATAATAATATAATATTCAATTTAAAGCCAGGCTCTGTAGGAAGACAAACTTTTGATTATAGGGAGCTTTTGATTGCACGACAATGGTAGGACGTAGAACGTAATGACGTCACCAAAAGTCATTTGCGCATGCGAGAACGTTAAGGTCACCTCGTCAAGTAGATTCTGGAATGCAATCTGGCAAAATCTACGTATGCAGAAAACATAGGACGCCAGGACAGTCGCGCATGAGTGATTCCATTCTAGCGTCGCGTTGTCACACAAATCGAAAGCTCCCTAATAGCTAATAAGGTGCAGATTTTTTAATATTAGAAAACTGGGGAAAGGGCGTGTTATCCCTGGAAAGGGCATGTCATCCCTTTCCGTTTCCGATAGCCATTTCCAATAATAATTCAAACACCCTTTCAATGTCATATAATATTTGTTTGTACTAAACATATCAAAAAGTTTCCAGTGGAATTCAGTGATTTAATAATGAGAATTTTTTATGTAGATAATATTAATAGTAATAATAACAAACAATAACAATAATAATAATAATAATAATAATAATAATAATAATAATAATAATAATAATAATAATATTAATAATAATATTAATAAAGATTTATATAGCACCACTGTATAGTCATCAAGTTGTTTCACAATAAGCTAACAATAATAATAATGGATAGACAGACAGGAGCAGTGTAATTTCCATATGAACTGGATATTAAAATAAACACTGTGTCTGTATCTAATAATGTTGCACATGTCACAATATTATGTTTTAAAAATTCTCATTGTGTATTATGCAATACCTGGAGGGAAAAAGTCAAGTTGCATAGGGAAAATCCATCTGAGCATACAGCTTCGTCTCGTGTTAACCAAACGGTGACTTAATGGTCTTAGGTTCAAATCCTCATGAGGGAAAATTTGATTTTCTTTAAAAAATGCGTAATAATTTCATAACCTTTAACATTGAATGGAAAGGAAAATAATATTGGAGGCTTACATTCCATGGATCTATATAGATATTAAGAACAATTATTGCTGGGTGTAAGATTGGTAAAAATAAATAAATAAAATATAAATGAATAAATAAATTAACCTGTCATAGCATTGATTCATATACTGTGCTTTAAGTATGAGTTCAAATTTGTTTAAAATATTTTTTGCCGAGCATATATTATTAATTAGTCACTTTAATTATTAAACTTGTATATAATTTTTGACTCGGTAAAATATAGAATATTGAACAAATGTGATTTCACCACAAAAGAAAGACAAAAGAAAATATTAAAACAAATAGCCTCCAGCACCAAATGCTATCTGTACACTATAGCCCGGTAGTGCGGTCATGCACATTTCCCTGCCCTGATCATTGCTTCTCACAATCTCTCATGCATTCTAAGCCATCTTTAAAATTAGAGGACAGACGTTCACCTACTAAAATTGAAATTGTGGAAGTGATTAGCGTTGGTTTTGCATACATAAAAGCTTGATGCAATCAAATATTCTGCTTTAGAATGTATCATTGTTGTTATATTATTATTCATAATATATTATTTTTTTATTATTATATTGTTATTTTCCAATTTCAGATAATTGATTGCAAAGGAGACTTTTCCATATCTTTGTATCTGCTCTAAACAGGAACGTAGTGTGTGTTGAGGAAGGAACTACAGTATTCAAGAAAATGTTGATTAATGTATTTAGTCAAAGTTCAATGGAGTTTTTATCAGTAAAGTATTTTATTTCAGTTATTTAAACAGTAATGATACAAAAACAATTTACAATACAAAATGATTAAGGACACCTAAGTTTAACTATAGATGGTACAAACTAGTTGCGATTGAAAAATATAGGCTCTATTGCCTTTTAACCTTGATATCGTTAACAGTGGTGTAATGTAACCCTGTTGAACATGTCGGACCCCTTGTCAGAACATTTCTCGAGCGACCGCTGGGCCCTTTTTGGGTCTCATTTCGTCATTTCCATCGTGGGATTTTAGATGTGCTCGTTTTTTAATCATGTTCGTCATTGTTATTCTAAATATTTTTAACGAAGAATAAATGAGACAATACCAGTGGTAGATCTAGGAATTCGAAATAGTGGGGGACCAGCCTCAACATGGTTGGGGTTCTGGTTTCATAGCCAAAAAAAATTAGTAAGATCTTTATTTCCTCGAAAAATACATGTAGTCTTGTCACAAATTTACAAATAGAAAAACTGTCGAATTTTCAGCAATAACTAATGCCAAAAACTGTGCTATATAAATAATAATTTTAAATCAAATTGCGTCAGATCCTTATTAAAATGAAAAAAATGTACACAAACATTTAAATACTACTCTTATACACATCTT